CACCACCACCACCACCACCACCACCACTACTACTACTACTACTACTACTACTACTACTACTACTACTACTACTACTACTAAAACTACTACTAAAACTACTACTACTACTACTACGACTACTGGTACTACTACTACTACTACTACTACTACTGCTACTACTACTACTACTACTACTACTCTGTTATGGGTGCCTTGCCCCTGGGAAAACAGAACAAGATAAAGTGTCAGAATTAATAAACATCCTTGGAAGACCAAGGTACACTGCTGGGCGGCATACTTCCCCCGCGCTGCACAGCTGTTGCGCGAATCGGCTAAATAGCACAAAGCCGATTTCGCGCAAAAGCCCCATGGCCGTTTGCGATGCCTCAAGTGACAGCTCCTCCAAATGCCTTGACCTGCAATGCGCTCAACAACCACACTCGAGCTCCTGGCAGAAGCGCAAAAGAAGAAACGTACTCTTTGGGCGCGCTTCTCAGGCAATCCGCGTACAGGATGGGTGCAGTGCCAGGCGCCATGATTCGCCAGCCCAACGGGCCAGAGGCGTGCTAAAATCTCCAGTGACTGATTCAAAGTTTTCTGGTTCGCGCGCACGGGGCCACCCCTTTTGGTCTCTGGCCCGAAAGTACCCCAGCAAGGTTGAAGGGGAACTGGGACACACAAATGAATCCACACAAATAGAAGGATTCCCAATAGTTTCCCATATTTTCTGAGTTTCTGTCTTGCCCCCCACTTCCAATATTTTCTCATATCTTCCTGGGAATCGACGATTAATTGTGTCTGTGTGTTTCTTCCCCTCCTGAAAGGTCCCCGCAAGTCCGCCTCAGAGATGGTTTTGCTCCTGGGCGCCGCCTGCAGGGCCTCCCAGAAAGCCTCAAGCAGGGCCAAGATACCCCGACGAGGTTGCCAAGATAATCTTAGAGAGCTCCGAGACAAACCAAGATGGCTCCAAGACGCCCGGGATGGCCCCAAGACAGTTCAAGAAGACTCCCAGACGCCGCGAAAAGCCTCCAGAAGCATTCTCAAGAAGGCCACAAGAAGCAAAAACAGACGATTTGCATGGCATGATCCGATGGGTTTCTCGTTCTCGCATGTTCAGCTCCGCGACGCTCCGAGATGGCTCCAGAGGTCCTGAGGCCGCCTCGAGACCGCCCGAGGGGCCCCTAAGAGGGCCCCTAAGACGGTCCACGAGGCCCCAGGACGGCCCCAGGAGCGCCCAAGATTGCCCAAGAGGGCCCCGCGACGGCCCTCAGAAGGGGCCCAAGAGGGTGAACACGAACCACCAATTCGAGCCTCTCGCCATCGCTTGGACGTCCATTCCCTGTGTTTTTGTTCGGTGTCGTGCGTGTCTCTTTTTTTTGCCAAATGATCGAGGATGCTCCTCGATGGTCCTCGCCGGAGGAAAAAATGCACACGTCCGAGCAATGCCAAGGCCTTCCGACCCGAGAGGCCCCCAGGAGGCCCCAAAAGGCCTCCCAGAGAGCCCGGGAGGCCCCGTGGAGGCCCCCAACGAGGCCCCAACGAGGCAACATGCATGGATCTCCCAATGCGCCTATGGAAGAGTTTGGCGTTCTTGCCTCTTCCAAGAGATTCCAAGAGTTTGGAAGATTTTGGAAGATTTTGGCGTTTTTAGTTTTTACTTTTTTGGGAAGATTCTGGCGATTTTGGAAGACTTTGATTTTTCCCGACGCGCCAAGACGGGCCCTAAGAGGTCGCGAACGGGCAGGCAAACGCCTGCGCTGGCACAACACGGGCCGGCGGAATGAGCGAAGCGATTACACCAAGCTGGGGCGATGAGCTCAAGCATGCGAGCAGGGAAAATTAGGACCATGAACTGCATGCGGGGGAGAGCGCCGAGACTGCCGCTGCTGCTGAGGCTGCTACTGCTCCTAGTCGACCTCTTCCTCCTCCTGCTCCTCCTCCTCCTCCTCCTCCAACTCCTCCTCCTCCTCCTCCTCCTCCTCCTCCTCCTCCTCCTCCTCCTCCTCCTCCTCTTCCTCCTTCTCCTCGTCTTCTCCTTCCCTCCCTCCTCTCCCTCCCCTCCCTCCCTCCCCTCCCTACCCCCCTCCCTCCTTTCCTCCTTTCTTCCACCCTTCAGCCCTCCGCCCCGCCGCCCGCCCGCCGCCCACTCGCCCGCCCGCCCTCCCTCCCTCCTCCCACCCTCTCCTACTCCTCCTCCTCCTCCTCCCTCCACCTCCTTCCTAATCCTCCTCCCTCCCCTCCTCCTCTCTCCTCTTCTTACTCCCCCGCCATCCTCCTCCTCCTGCTCCTCCTCCACCTCCTACTCCCCCGCCCTCCTCACACCCTCCCTCACTCCCTTCCTCCCTCACTCCCTCCCTCCCTCATTCCCTCCCTCACTCGTCTTCTTCAAATTCAACCCAAAATCAGCATCCGTCGTGGTAGTATTCCTCTTACGAGTATTACGAGCATGATTATGATTAGTATGA